TTGCACTCCAGCCTGGGTAACAAGAGCGAAACTCCGTCTCAAAAAAAAAAAAAAAAGAAAAGAATTTCAAATAATTTATGTAAATGTTCTCCCCATTTTTCGAACAAGTGAGCCTGAACTTCCTAACCCCTTAATGGGCTGTGTTTAATAACTTCTTAAGAGTACGGTATGGGAAGGGGGGAAAAGGAGTAACTTTGTAATGAAGAAACGTGGCAGACACTACCAAAAGAGATCAAGTTCTGACAACGTGAGGAGTAAGTCACTGAGAGGATGTAGCCTTAATATGATGTGATGAGAATCGCACTTTGGGAGTCTAGATATAGAGGATGTTTGATTATAAAGACATTCTGGAGCCATCTGAGAATCTCAGGCATAACTGCTCAGCAGATCTTACAGTCCTTGCATTGAGATCCTTCTCCAGGTTGACTAGAAAGAAACCACTTTGTGTGTGCATACTGATAGAGGAAGGATGAACTGTGGTGTATTGTTGAAGTTATTCTTTCCATATATAACTCCCACACTATGCTATACATAGCATAGTTCTTGTGCACAATGGGCATTCCGTAAATAATATACACAGAGGATACCCCAACTGGCTCTGTGGAAACATGTATAAAAGATACCTCACCCTTCTGCAAGGTCTGAGAAAGGGAAACACTGAATTTGATTAGGAAAATAAGGCTATTGCTACTAGAATTTTTTGACATTTGTGAAGAATCAGACTGGAGGGGTATTGTTTTGAACTATGAATTAGCAAATGAATTTGAGTCTGCTCTGTTGTGAAAGTTGATAATACTTAACCCGACTGGATTGTCCCTGGCAGAATATTTCCTGGAAGACTGCATTCAGATGACCCACTTTGTTCCTCCACCAAAAGACAAGAAGAAGAAGGATAAGGATGATGATGGTGGTGAGGATGATGATGTAAGTGAATTTCATGAAGAATTTCCACTGTGGGCAAATTGTCGACGCAGAGAAAAAAAAATGAGTTAATAAAACATGCAATGTATATAAATAACATTACAGAAAACTTTTTTACAAACTAACTATAATGTCTGCATTTGGATTCACGGATGTATGTTACTGCAAAAAATTCCAGGTTCAGTGACAGGCTGTTTTCTGTCATGAGTTAAATTGTTTCTGCCATGTAAAGGTCAAAAGAAAACAAGGAAAGAATAAGATATTTAAAGGCCAGGCATGGTTAGAGACAATGCTGTTGTGTAAGGTTTTGCTACAAAGCGTTTTCAGTAAGCACTAGCACCTGGGAAACTGATAGGCAGAATTCTGTGCCCCACCCTAGATCTGCTGAATCAGAATCTACATTTTAACAAAATCCCCAGGCGATCCTTACGTACAATAAAGTTTAAGAAACAGCAGCTAAGCCAGGCATGGCTCCCACCTGTAATCCCAGCACTTTGGGAGACCAAGGTAGGTGGATCATGTGATCAGGAGTTCAAGACCAGCCTGGCCAAGATGGTGAAACCCCCTTCTCTACTAAATATATACAAAAATTAGCCGGGCAATGTGGTAGTTGCCTCTAATCCCAGCTACTTGGGAGGCCGAGGCAGGAGAATTGCTTGAACCCAGGAGTTGGAGGTTGTAGTGAGCTGAGATTGTGCTGCTGTGCTGCAACCTGGGCTGCAGAGTAAGACTTGATCCCAAAAAAAAGAAACAGCAGCTATAGCTTTACTATAAGAGACTGTGGAGATGACATTATCAGGTTGACAAAGTATTAAATGAGGGAGCAATGAGGGATTTCCTAGGAGAAACAGGAAAGAAAAGACTGACTTTCTAGTGCTTGAGAGTTGACATATGATAGTGTGAAAAAGGATTGTTTACCTGGAAATATAGACTGTGACAGCCAGCAATGCAGAATTTGCTAGAAAACCTAAGATATCTTTTTAATCAAAAGATCTGAAGATGTAAATGAACAGTGAATTAGAAAATTTTATCAGGATAAAGACCAATTATAACAACTTGATTCTAATGTAAACTTTCTGGAAACTGCCACGTTATTTCAGAAAGAGAAATATAGTTAGTAGAAGGCTTCATGAGAGGTTTCAGAGTCAAATTTAAAAGTTTGTGCATGAGCTTTAGTCCTGTCCTGTGAGAAATAGTAGTTAGTAGAAAAATTCAGTATATTGATGTAAGCGCTACATTTTTTGGAAATTAAATTTCTTCTGTATACTATAGTGTGTGACTGGTCAACTAGAATGACATTATGAGTTATTTAAATATGAAGAACAAATCTAGAAGACTTACCTCATGAGCTGCTGTAGTAACTGAGACAATCCAAAATATGTGTTTCTATTTTTTACAGGCAAATTGCAACTTGATCTGTGGTGATGAATATGGTCCAGAAACAAGGTTGAGCATGTCTCAATTGAATGAAAAGGAAACTCCTTTTGAACTAATTGAATCTCTGCTTAAGTACATTGAAACCCTTAATGTTCCTGGAGCTGTGTTGGTGTTTTTGCCTGGCTGGAATTTGATTTATACTATGCAGAAGCATTTGGAAATGAATCCACATTTTGGTATGAGTCTTTGAATTCTCACATATTTGAGAGTGAAAATGAATGTTTTTCTAGTGCCTCAGCCAGAATGTGAAAAAGGAACAGAAAATTTTGTATTGTCTCTACTTTTGAATAAGAATATGTATAATAGACAGATGTTTTAAACCAGCTCCTATTTTTAGTCCCTAATTGTTCTGTATTATTATAGGAAGCCATCGGTATCAGATTTTACCACTGCATTCTCAGATTCCTCGAGAGGAACAGCGCAAAGTGTTTGATCCAGTACCAGTTGGAGTAACCAAGGTAAGTATTAAACTTTACAGTGGCGGGATTGGAAGTGATGTAGTTATTAAACAAATGTTACAGGCCTTAAAAGAGCTCCCCAAAAAGTTGTAAGCCAAAGTGAGGAATAATAAAGTCTTCACTGGCCGGGCGCGGTGGCTCAAGCCTGTAATCCCAGCACTTTGGGAGGCCGAGGCGGGTGGATCACGAGGTCAAGAGATCGAGACCATCCTGGTCAACATGGTGAAACCTCGTCTCTACTAAAACTACAAAAAATCAGCTGGGCATGGCGGTGCATGCCTGTAATCCCAGCTACTCAGGAGGCTGAGGCAGGAGAATTGCCT